CCTTCCCTTTAAGGTTTAGCTGCAGGCCTTGTGGATAACATGCAAATCAGCGCTATCATTTGCATACTTTGTTCGTGGTGATATGACGGTTCCCTTTGAATCCGTGCTGTCTCTGTGGGTGCCAGCCAGCTGCTGCGCTTCCACCAGGAGCAGGTCCCCTTTCTGCCCCACCATGGCAGCCTGCCGTGCCAAAGGGGATGAGGGGTGACAAACCTGTCCCTGGGCTCTGGGAGGGCAGGAGAGCTGGGCTCGTGCCCCCTGTACTGAGGCTGCGAGGAGGAGGAGGATGCAGTGGGTACCTGGTGGAGCTGGGAGCAGGACTTAAGGCAGAGCCCTGCGGTGGGCTGGGCTGGACCCCGTCCCCAGGGAGCACTGCGTACCGGCACCGTGCCCTCATTCTCTCCTCCCCTCTCCCTGCCAGGTTTGCATGTTGTCGCCATCGCCTTCGCCTTGGAGGTGTCGGTGGGGAAGACCAATACTGTGATGGCTCTGAATAACTCCGACGTCCTGCTGCCCTGCATCTTCTCCACCTGCATAGGCTTTCAGGACCTGGTTTTCACGTGGTATTTCAACTCGACGGAGCTGGTGGGTGGCTCTCTGTGCTTTGCCCCTCTTTTCCTTGCAGATCCTTCTGTACTTTCCCAGTGCAGAGCAGCGCTGCAGTTCTTGCTGCACTCCCTTTCTGCTCTTGCAGGATACCTTGTCTCTCCAAGTGACTCCAGCTCTGGAGGGAAAGGACTGTGTGAACAGGGTGACTTCAGTGCCCTGGCACATCTGTGCTTTTGGCACAAAGCTGTTCTGGATTTTTCTGTTGTCCATAGGGCCATTTCTTTTCATAAACTGGCTGCTCAGGTGCAGGTCTGCACTTTTGGCAAAATATGGTTAATACTGTCCTCTTGCACTTGCTCTGAAGTACTAAGGGTTCTTTATAGCTTTGCTTCCTGCTGGGAATATTTAGCTCCTCCTTAGCAGGAGGGCTGCTTTAGAGCAGGTCTGCTCTTGTAGGCTGGCCAGCCCTGCATGGCCCTACAGCAAAGGGCCCCTCTCTGCCCTGGGGTCTTTCCAGCTTTGCTGTGGTCTCTGACATTCCTGCCGGGCAAGTCAGGTAGATCTGTTGCTTCCCTGGCAGCCCCCTCCACAGCCATTCCTGTTTTTTTTTGACGCTTGGCCCTGCCTGTCTCTGGGTGCAGAAGTGGGGTGGGAGAACTGGAGCCTCTGCCTCAGCTGGAGTTGTCAGGAGCCCGGCTGACCCCGTGTCCTGCATCCCTGCCTCTGCAGATTTACCACGGCAAGATAAAGAGCAAAGCCTCGGAGCCCTTCCTTGTGGGGCGCAACCCGCGGGTCGAGTTTGTTGGCTCGACAACCGGGAAGGAAAACAACATCTCCATTGTCCTGAAGAATGTGGAGTTCAGCGATGCTGGGAAATACACCTGCCATGTCAAGAACCCCAAGGAGAAGAACGCGCAGCACAACGCCACCATCTTCCTCACAGTGGTCCAGAAGAGTAAGTGCCAGCCAGGGCTCCTGTGCTCCTCAAGTGGCACGGGTCCACAAACTCACGCTTAGTGCACCTTGGCTCACGGTTGTGGCAACGCCAC